TTCGGTAGCAGCAGCAGTACGCCTAATAATTGCATGCTTCACCATGTTTTCAAATCCAACAAACTTCACCCCCTCGCCCTGTGAACACCTGCTGTACGAATGGACGGGTCAGCGAACGTACGAACGAGGGACAAGTGCACTGGCTCACTCAGTATGCATTGTGGCGAGGCTGAGAGAAAGTCAGCGTGGAATGACAAGAAATTATTTCTGACTTCTTAGGGCCATGATTATACTCACATGTATGTGTGTGTGTTGTACCCATGTCTTTTTAAATGTGTTTCATTTATAGAACCGAAAATATCTGAACCCGTTTTCTTTTGTTGTTGTTATTCGCTTATACAATTTGATATGAAAGTCATCTACACTTGCAGCGCACTCTTCCCTTGATCGCTACCCAGGTCAATACAAATCCCAGTTGTCATCCTCACACGTGCATATGTGTGTGTGATAAAGTACCTTTTCAAATGTAGGACACCGTTGAAAAAAATCAATCTTGCCTTTTTTATTATTTTGTTTGTACGAGTGTATTAAAGAGAACGCCGCTCGCAAGAGAAACATGAAGAGTCAATGATCGGCAATAAACAAGTATTTACTGCTGAAATCTCCGAGATTGCTTGAACAAAATATGTATGTACACCATTCGTACATACAGTAATGGTAAAAATGTGCGTCGCTTTTTGTTACTTTCAAACGGAATCATTCCACTCTTTAGGCGCATATCAGGATTTGCTTAGTTTTGCCTGGCAGTGTAGATTGTTGTTTTATAGATATCATTCTCTGGAAAGTGTAATAAAATGGACAATATACAATCAAATTATGCACCATTGGTGAGCTTCAGTATACTTCAAAGCAGACACGGGCGAAGATCCGTTTATACGCTCTTTTACACACGAACTAGTTTGAAAGAGAGCACGCTTGCGGGGGTTTGCTCTATCTGGATTTAAAATAGGTCCATTTCCTTTTTATTTTTCAATCATTTGTTTTCCATGCGATATTAGATTATGTTTATGTTAAAGAAGTGAAAAAGTTAATAAATTCATTCAAAAACCTATATGTATATTACTGACCATGTTCACCATTGTTACATAGACACATATGTATGTATATATTCGTAGACAAGCTCATCGACCAATCAAGTCATTGGAAACTAAGTTGGGGTTTTCCAACACCATTCGGGAATTTTTATGTCTGCATCTGCAGGCTATTGACGAATATGCGAAGTCTACCACCGTTTGTTTCGATTTGATAGTCTGCTAGTAAAACGTTTCTTCCCAGTGGCTCAGAAGCGATAGCTGGCACATAACCCAACACAAGTTCACATCTTGCTCACTTTTACGCTCATTTCGAAAATATTTCTGCTGTAAACACTTTTCGTATTTTCTCCATATATGGATTGTGGCGTGTTACACAAGCCATCATCATTATCATTGCGCCGCAGCCACCTCTCAAAAACCGGTTCTCGTCAAACTTTTTTCAGCATCAATTTTTAGCTTTAAAGGTACATTCACTTCTTCCACAAAAATCAAACAACAAACCGTACTGACGTAAGTGTTAACACCACAACAACTATTAATCAATGTTAGGTAAATGCCGACTATCGAGAGTCGGAATACAATTTTTCCAGGACTTTATAAAATCGAATAATATTATTAGAGTCTCGTAAGCCTGGGAGTTTCCTGGAAATTTTTAGGACTTTTTTCAGCATCAATTTTTAGCTTTAAAGGTACATTCACTTCTTCCACAAAAATCAAACAACAAACCGTACTGACGTAAGTGTTAACACCACAACAACTATTAATCAATGTTAGGTAAATGCCGACTATCGAGAGTCGGAATACAATTTTTCCAGGACTTTATAAAATCGAATAATATTATTAGAGTCTCGTAAGCCTGGGAGTTTCCTGGAAATTTTTAGGACTTATAAGTAATCCATACTCAATATTCTCTCGCCATCAAGTTCATCAAAGAAAAATCCAAGATTTTTACTCGTCATCTCCTTACCCATAACACCAGAAAAATTATTAATCAATGTTAGGTAAATGCCAACTATCGAGAGTCGGAATACAATTTTTCCAGGACTTTATAAAATCGAATAATATTATTAGAGTCTCGTAAGCCTGGGAGTTTCCTGGAAATTGTTAGGACTTATAAGTAATCCTTACTCAATATTCTCCCGCCATCAAGTTCATCAAAGAAAAATCCAACATTTTTACTCGTCATCTCCTTACCCATAATCAATATCTATCTAAGGAAACCAAGTTGGGATATTGATATATTCGCGTAAGAAATGTCACAACACCTGATATCCTAACAACGGATCGTTTCCTGGAAATTTTTAGGACTTATAAGTAATCCATACTCAATATTCTCTCGCCATCAAGTTCATCAAAGAAAAATCCAAGATTTTTACTCGTCATCTCCTTACCCATAACACCACAAAAACTATTAATCAATGTTAGGTAAATGCCGACTATCGAGAGTCGGAATACAATTTTTCCAGGACTTTATAAAATCGAATAATATTATTAGAGTCTCGTAAGTCTGGGAGTTTCCTGGAAATTGTTAGGACTTATAAGTAATCCATACTCAATATTCTCCCGCCATCAAGTTCATCAAAGAAAAATTAAACATTTTTACTCGTCATCTCCTTACCCATAATCAATATCTATCTAAGGAAACCAAGTTGGGATATTGATATATTCGCGTAAGAAATGTCACAACACCTGATATCCTAACAACGGATCGTACTTGGTGCAAAGTAGATGTACACACCGAAACCTTTAGGTGATTTTTATTTTTGAAATACTAAAGTATTGGTTTTCTACGGTTTATATAAAATGATTGTCTACTGGGGTTGTTTGGGAATGTGCAGTGAAACAGGTTGAATCCCAAAAACTAATACAAATTCCGTTTCTGGCTTAAACCAGAGAAACTTGTTTTTAGGCATCTTGGGCTGTATGGTGACTACTGCCGCATTTTTAATGAATTGATATTAAAATTCATAGTCTCGGAGCATATCAACCATCCATGCTCACACACACACACTTGCAGTATGTGTAAGTAACCAGGGTTGACTCGCAAGAGCAACAATGAAAGAGCGTCTGGCAGCATGTTAGCCACACAGAGTTGGATAATGGTATAATGTGACAACCGGCATATTTTATAGGACCGGTTAAAACGCAACAGGAATCGACGAACAATCAACCATCGACTTTATCACTCACCACCATTACGGACAGAGGAGCAACAAAAAGTTACCGATAATGAAAGAAACCCGTATAATGTTGTTCGGTCTGGGAAGAAGTATTGAAATAATATTGTAGTAAAACACACACACATACCCACACAAACTGTCTCACACAGATACTCGTAATAAATTAAGAGAACCAAAAAGGGAGGAATATTTCATTCGAAGAGAAGTGTCCGTCTCTTTCTCGATAAAATTTAGGTAGTTCACAGTGTGGGAAACCTCCACACAACAGAACAAGTAACAAGCAACACATATACACATACACCCAAAACCAGAGATACTCTCACATAGCGCTTGTCTTTGCATTCAAAATAATTTCACCGACATTTAGTTTAGTGGTGTTTCTGGTGGCAGTCGTACTTCGGACATTCTACCATTCACACAACAAGCAACAGTGTACCATTAATTAAATAAAAAACATACAACAACAAATACAGTTTATAATAACTAATAATTACTTTAAAAATTCCCCGGAAAACAACACGCTCAAACGAAAATATAGTAACAACAACGGCAACAGAAAAAATACTAGTTCAAGTGTTATCTTTTCGCATTCCCCCATCGGCAAAAAGTTCCAAACCAAACGAATACATCAGCAAATTATCCAAAAGAATGAAGTAATTCCATTAACTAATGCTCAAGTAGTGTAAAAGTCCATAACTGAAAACGGAAGTAGTGTGACCGATAGACCAAACGGATCCCTCCCACCCCGACGACATCAAATGCATAATACATTCAAGTGAAATATAATTAAAAACACATCCCTTCCCTTCCTCAACCACCGTCTCTCCGCCTCTATACATTAACAAGTAGTGACGATTAAGTTATTATACAAATATATTTTATTTTTGTCAAAAAAAAAAAAAAAATAAATAACAAGCCCTGCAGGGAAAGAGAAGCGGAAACACAAAGCATATTAGAAAAAAAATAAAAAGAGCAAGAACGTTTCATATTAAATTAAGCCATATCAACAAGTGAATTTTTGAATGACAGCAGCCGCAAGCAACCACGCACACATTTGCAGACGCTCCAAGTGTCACCAAAACAGAACCAAAAACCTCCACCTAACAGAAGCCGTAAACAGAGACCCTTTTCGGCCAGCTGCAGCCAACAGTACGACTTACGAGCAGTGAGGAGATAATTCAAGGCAACCAAAGAATCAACAGGTTTCAAACACATCCCATCTGCAACCCCCCGTCTGCGCAAACATTACATTCCAGTGGTGCATTCTTCTCAAAGCCCCAACGAAAGAATTGATGTCAGAGAGCCATGAGAGCCAATTCGTAAACAAAACAACGCATCCATCCAGACACACAGAACCATTAGTGATCTGATTCATACAAATAAAAAATTATATAAAAGATAAATGTATTCCAACTAAAACTGGGTTATACTAAACAACAACAAAAACAACACAACTTATACATTGTATCAACGAATGAGTTCGTATCGGTTGCATTTTTACTAGGCAAAAACGCAAATACCACCAACAAAAATAATTGAATAAACAACAACAACCACAACAAGAAGAGTAACGGCAAAACATGAATTTAATTGAAGCATAGAGAGCAGCAATAACAGTACTCACTTGAATTACATGCAAGTGCACACACGTACACACCTACAGTGCCAAATACAAGTGTGAGTGACGGTCTAGCGTGGAACCCAGCCTCTGGATCACACTCCAGCCACCGCTTACGGCGCCCAAAAATTCCCCCTTTTCCCGTACGTCTCTACTGTAAATTTCGTCAAAATTCCTTTCACCATGGAAACATTTTACGATGGCGATCTTAAGGATATATGGGATTCTGATTTAGATCCAGTAAGTACATATGAAAAGAGAACTTACTTATAAGAACATTGTTGGGCGTAGACGTGTGTCCATAAGTATTACACTTCTACGCCCAATATAATTTATGAGAAATTAATACCAGCTCTCCACTAGTGTCCCTACTGATGACAGTCATCAGCAATCATTAATTTATAATTAATGAAATGATTTACACAGTAATGCACACATACGCACTCATATACGATCTAGAGCAAGTAGCTAATATTGATAATTAATAAAAAGTAAAGACGGGGTACCTTTGGAGAGGCAGCACACCCCACTGTTGTTCCTTTTCTTGGAAATTATTTAGAAATGTTGTCGGCACGATGTAGTATCTGCGACAGCGGCAAAAGTTGACGGTCCTCGGATGTGATAACCAAAAATAAAGACATCAACCCGACATTCCAAATTGTGTTCGTGTTGTTGTTCTTTTCAAAATTCAAACTCAATTTACAGTTATTGTATTCTGTGTTGTGCGACGACCAACAACAAATTAACACCGAACACTATTTCCTTATCGCCAAAAGGAAATGTTAGAGATTGTTATATTTTTGTTTAGTTTTTTTTTTTTTATTTGACAACCTCCTCCATGTGTTATTGGCACCAATGAGTGTGGGGGTGTGATTCTTGTTCGGATGCCTGATTCTGTTTCTGGGTTTGCTGTTTGCTTAATGATTACATTGTGGTAATATTCGAGTGTGCATCCTTTAACACAGGGAAATGGACGGATTGTTTCAATCACACCTCAAAATGTGTTTGTTTGACAAGTGATTGATAAATATATATTATATATTATACGTTTTATTAGGTCCACGTTCTTAGATAAAAAAACTATTTCGAATTCAAATTTTACTAAAAAAAATTGAGACGAAATTTTCATATGTATTAACTAAAATGATTCTATGTAAGAACAAAAAATGTTTTTAATAGGCGTGACGATGTATCGACAATAAAACACAACTTTTTAACAACTTTAAATGATCTTTCAATAAAGAAACAAGCAACTAGATCTTCGGACGTCCGAAGAAAATGCTGCTGCATTTTGCTAGGCAATAAGTCAAAGAGAAACGTTAATAAATGTTCAATGTGACCTAGCTTATGATGTTGTCTTTCGAACCCGGATAATATGGGTCAATATGGTTTTGCTTTTTATCGGTAAATATAACTTAGGACTCTAAAAAGCTGAAACTAACTACATCGCATCGATTAATCGACCGAATTACTATTTTTGTTCAAATTTTTCTTGCACGTAGTGTTTAGGAAATTTTTATTTCAATGATAAAACATTCTATGTGTGTAATGACTTTCATTCTTATTTTTTCATCGCTTATTTTATTGCATGTGTCAACTTATGAATGTCGTCACTTCGAATAATGGCTCAGATTACTCAATTTCTAATAAGAGATAAGCTTGAGTTCAGAAATCTTCTGAAATGCAGTTTTCATTTCGAATGCCAAACAAGAGGCTGGCTGGCTGAAATTGCTGAATTTCATTTCATAAGATCAGTGGTGGTCACACAGCATATCAAAATTGAATGACCTTAAGATAACATTTCATTAATTTTTTTTTACTGATGCCTCAACACAAAATTCTCATTGGAAACAGAAGGAAAAGCGAATAATCGCGATAACGTGTTTTAGCAGAATACGTACCAACACCGCTTTGTAGGAGTATCCCTCTGGGGTTACCAAGAGCTGTGGTAAAATTCCCTGTTCTGTGAATGTCGTTTTATGGAAATACACGTTCCCCAGATATACGTATGTTTAGATATTTTCAAGTTTAAAACTAATGTACTTGAAATTGATTTAAAATGTTCATTTTGGTAAACACACAAGCTCATGCCGAACCGAAGCATGGGGAATGTCTGTTATCTGTAGATTTTTTAATTTATAAGTAAATTATCATTTTGTTGAACGTTCGAAAAAACCCAACTGTGCTCGTTCGTTCGCCAGCAACAAATCTAGGTTCGTTATCAAGATATTTTGTAATGAATTTCGTCCGAGTTTGTTGCATGGGCATGGTGTGTTGATAAGAAGACATTTCTTCGAAAAACAACACTTTTCGATTAAGTCTTTCTCTTAAAAAAATACTATTTAGTTGTATTGCACAGTGGCAGAAATGATTTCTTCCAAAAATACAGCTACGATTTAGAACTCCAATCGTAGCTGTATAAGTAAAAAAAAATAAATCCGACTTCATATATATGTATATAAATATATGCATTTTAAAATTAATTATGTTAGTTTTGAATGTGCTGAATTTTGTTGTTGGTGTAGTGCGATGGAAGCACATGTGAACATAAACTGATTGTAAAATACCTAATACAATCAATTGCGTTTGCAGTCGCTTCTCATTATTAGTTTTATCCGTATTGATCCATTGCGATATGTAATCGGAGTTAACATGGGCATTATATGTTATCGCATCATTCGCGACATTTAAAATTACTCTCTTCCTTTGCGTTACAATTGATGTCTTTGTTTTTGCTGAAAGACACACAAAATCCGTTAAAATAAGAATTGACTCTGTGCCTTCATATGATTTTAAGTACAAAATTTTAGATTTTTATTCCGACAAAAAATTTTTGTGACACTGAAAGGGTTAAAATAGACTAGTAGTTGTTTACGCCACGCCAAAGTTACAATAAATAAGTCTTAAAAAGCTAATGTTCTGCTGAATTTGTAAATTCATTGTACCCCTGTACAATAAATTTTTCAATGCAAAAGTAATTACTACTTTGAAGAAAGTTAACAAAACGAAAATGTTACAGAAATAACCTTCCAAAGAACCCGGTAAATGCTTACGCTTGAGCGATAAAACAAGAATGACTTTTAAATTGCAATATTGGCACGTTTACCTAAAATGATTCAAAATCTAGTCTTACGAAGGTCAGTCACAGAGCAAAAAACGCTCGATATTGAGCAAATTCCAACAGAGTTGTTTTTGCTTTCAGATATAATTCAAGAAAGAAATGCACAATTCGACAATAATTAAAAGTGTTGATATTCAGAAACTACCAACAAGTTCTTGAACACCACACAGAGTCCATTTATTCAAAGGAATTCAACTGTCATCGAAGAGTGAAATTGAAGCACACTGGGATTTGTTCAAAACATGAAAATATAGTAACAAAATCAATGGGGGTGTCGGAGTAGGGCATTACATCCACCATTTTCCCTGCAACCTTTCTCTTTTTATTATTATATTCACGTGGTTATGTATGTGTGTATTTCGTAGTGTGCATGAATATCCGCATTTATGGTATACGATTGTCAGCAGTTCCTATAAAACACTGTCGTAAGCAAAGATCAATACACTATAGGTATATACATACATACGTACAAGCGGACAACAACAAAAAACTCAAAAGATTATAAAAATGAATAAACTTAGAGCTTTTGGTCTTTCGTTGTTGTTGTTGTTGTTGTTAAAATTGTTAATAACAAAAACTTCTCTCTCAAATTATGTCTGTCACTTTGTGGGCCAGTTTTGTTTGATGACTGTCAAAGCGGATAAATGTTATTATGAAATATTATGATACACTTATTTGAATTTCAACGCTGGTTTTAATATGCATCGACTGAAACAGATTTTACCATTGAGAAACAAGATCGAATTCGATGAAAGGCATACATGATCGAACAGGCTTGTAATATGGTCGTGCTTGAGCCACATCAGTCGTGGCTCGGAAATGACGACTACGATTCTTTTTAAGAACATAGACATTATTTTTACGACGGACTGTTTAGGCTACTAAAAATGTTAAACATCTGTCAAATGGTTGATACTAGAGGCAAACAGGTATTAATAAAACAACATAAAATGCTCTCAATATTATTTAGTAATGTCCATATTCATATATGTTGGATAGGAGGCAGTACTTTCCTAAGACCACATTCCATTTAATTTTTGGGAGACAACAATTGAATGAATTGGTGATATTTTTTCGTCGATTTTAATTTCAACGCCATTACATGTTACCAAAATGACAAAATTACCAGTTCATACAATAGATGTGAAAGGGGCAGGGAGGCGGGCGGTCTTACATCGAAAAATAAACCAACTTAACATGCAGACAACACGTTTATGGTCGCATTCATTAGCTCTCATGCGAACCACCAACAACTCTATCTGAATCATTTCATTTCACTTTGGTGGCTTTCAGCGAACCAATGAATAGATACCAACAACATTTAACTCTGGCATTTAAAATGCCATCGGCATTGGATGACCAATTACTTTTGATTTAAATCGAACTAAACCGAGTCACTAGAGTGGATGTTTCGATATATTTAGCGATCGAAATGACGACTACAAGTTGTTTCTAAGGAAGAACAGCAGCACACCGCCAGATTTATAAAATGCAATCAATTCGCTCTTTTAGGCAATCACATGCATGGACGGACGTCCACACAGACATATGTACCAAATTGGCCATGCTAATTTGACTCTCACTCGAATATCAATGCCATCAGGGCAGACTTGAAATAAAAGTGAATTCGTACGCGTTTTGTCAAAGGAAAACGTGAAAAAATTGCAAACATATGTTAGCTAACCAGGTTTCGTGTCTGTTCCTGTGAAGCTGTTGCTGCAAGAGTGAAAGTTATTGGGTGGGGGTGGCAAGAATGTGCCATGGATTTGTGTCACATCTGTTATCAAGGAAATGTGAAAATATGAGTTCGTCATTACATGCTAGGAGAAAAAAATAACAAACAAGCAACAGTACGTTTTTAGCAGGCACCCACGTGGTGCGCATTACGAGCTGCGCACAGCCCATTGGACGCTCTGAGGTATGTGGAAACAACAATAATAGTGTCAAACACGCCATAGCCAATTGATGACAATCAGCTCTTAAGCTATCGAACAGAGAGCGCTGGCTTAGAACAAAGATACTCTTTATTTTCCATATGATGTACGTACAAAACGACGAAACACCCCTAGACACCAGTGCTGGGAGCTGCTTATGTTCAAAATAGAACTGAAAGTGTCCA